GAGGTTAAGTTCGGCGTCGACCAACGGTAGGACTGCATACGGGACAGACTTTTTGGCGCGTAATATTGCTTGGGCTTCGGTTGCTAGCTGTACCACAATGAAAAGGTATGTACAACAGCGAAAACCACTCTGAAACACTGTGACGAAGTGTTTGGTAATGTCGACGGATTGGGCGATCGGTATTCTCGGAGGACGTACCACGTTGCAGATGGCCGGAACAGACAGATCAGAAAAGCCAAACGTTAAGTCTCAATCTGGATCAAGTAGGTTGAGCTTCGGCTTTGTAACACAGCAGATCGAATCGAATACGGTACCTCGAAAGGAGTCTGCGAAATACAGGTGCCCAGTTAGCTGCACTAGTGCGCCACAGTGGCTGGAGGCCGATTGGGTTTTTTTGTCGAATGGTGGCTTGGCAAGCGATGGCCAGGGATTCTCGGAGATGATCGTGTCCTCCGAGGCAATGTCCAACTGCAATCTGGGAGGCTGCGTATTGTGCAAGACGTCGATGAGCATCCTACAGCCGGTTGCGCAGACTTAGCATGAGGGTGGTAGGCTCAGGCAGCCGCCAACTGGACCACATTTGGGAGTGGGTCTTGCTCGGAGCCTCTTCTTTTGACGTGGAGGGGCAGAGACTGTCTACGTTCGGTCTGCTTGGTTGGAGTGCGACTATGGGTTAGGGCCGCGTTTGGTTTTAACCCCCTAATTGTCCTCGGGTTGCAAGAACCATCATTGTACGCTATCCTGTCACATCCTTCGGATCATGGTTGTCCGAGGTTGCAGCCTCAGTGGAAATGCTTGGAACCACAGTCTCGCCAGAATATGGTGGGGACTAAGTTCTATTTGGATTGGGTAGACCTCCCAGTAGATTTCGGATCGAATACTGAGACTGCTTAGACCTGACGTATAGCGCAGGCGTCTTGGACCAGAGCGGAATCGTGCCCAAGGTTCTGAAACAGTTCAAACTTCTCAGCCAGCTTCTCGAGCGTGACAATGCTGTCTTATTGCATCTTGCACAAGACAGGCGTTCTGGTGTCGGCTTCGTGGGCGGACTGGATGCCAGAAGGGTGAGGGATCCAAGCAGAACTCGTTCACATTTAGAACCGATGGTTCCCGCGTAGGTAGCATGCTTGACCAACTGCTGTCACTGTAACGGAGTAATGAACAGCGAGGATTGATCGCCAAAAATGAGCAACAGCGTACTGACTGTCTCATGAAATGTAAAGTCTCGGGGGTTCTTTAGCAAGTTGAAGGTGGTATAACGCTGATACGCGCCCGTGCCAATTTTGCACAGAAGCATCCGGGAATTTCACGCCTCATCCTGGCAGACTCGGACAACGGTGAACAAGTCCACCTACTAAACAACAAAGGTTAGAGCAACGAAAGTGGCATACATAAACTCGGAGATAGAGCTAACCACTTGGTTGACAGACTGCGAATTGCCAATCGGACCTGGTTAAAGGGAAGAACCGCAAAGTTTATCGG